GTTTTATCTTCTTTCGCTGTTGAGTCTTTTGGTTGACATAGAATTGAGTGAAGCGACTTTGTTGGTTTGTGTACGACGTCAACTCCTAAAGGTTTGAAGAGTCTTGTAGTGATTTCTGAGATATCTTTTATATATGGTAAGGCAATTTTCTTTGTGTTCTCCTTGGTGGCTTTTGCTTTGGTAGGTTGGCTTGGGGGTATATGTCTCTTGATGAGGCACACCACTAAGCCTGCTTCTGTCTGTCTGTTTTCGACATAGAACTTTGCACAAATGTGCGGAAGTTCAAGTCGCCACACTCCGTGTAGCACGCGAAGCAAGAGAAGAAAGTACAAGAAAAGCATAATAGAAACAGTGAGCAGAGGTGTGAGACAAAGGAGTAATAAAAACAAAACAGTTTCATTGGAGATCATAAGTCACAAGGAGTGGATGCATCTGCGCCACTGAGAACGATTTTGAGCCATGTCACCAATTGTTTCCAACCATTTGTTTTTACCGTCCCGAGGACCCCAACCAGTCAGGAAGTCTACACCTTCCTACGTGGCTTAGACTAACTGTTGTAGATTTCATTGACTGGTGCCATGTTTTTGTTTGGCCTCCACTAACTCTTTTCCAGCCTGACCCTATATCCGCCAACATTGCTCGTGGAGGGAGACGATGACTTGGCATACGTAACACATGTCCTAACCATCTCAGTCTTTGTAGCTTCACGACTTCGTCGATTGATTTCCCCTGTTTACCTAGAACTCGACGCCTAACCTCCATGTTGCTCACCTTATTATGCCACTTTACACGGGAAATAGAACGCAGGCACATATGATCAAACACAGCTAATCTTTTCGTGTCTTCCACTCTCAGTGGCCAGGTCTCACAGCTGGCCATAAAGGAGGACGGAGCGAACTGATGAGCAGTACACCCACCCTTTGGTCGATAGTCGAACATCTCGTCTACGCCAGAGTCGGCGTAAACTAACAAATGCGAAACGAGCCCCTTGTATTCGTGCTGAGATTTCGTCAGAGATCAACCCGTTGGGGCTGATGGTACTTCCCAAATAAGTGAAGCGGTCAACGTGCTCTACCACTTCACTTCCTATTTTTAAACTAGGCGTTGATGTAGTCCAGTCCTGTAACATCATCTTGCATTTGGCGGGAGCGAATCGCATGCCAAACATTCGTAGATTGCGGCTCAAGGTGTTTAGAAGACTCTGCATTTCGTCAGCGTCTTCGCCTAGAAGGACTATATCGTCTGCATATTCCAAGTCAACGAGATTATTCCCCGGTAGCAAGTCAATCCCTGAGTCGCTGAAGTCACCTAGGGTTAAGTTCATTAACACATCTATGATGAAGTTGAATAGAAAAGGAGATAATGGGCATCCTTGACGGACACCACTGGTCGTCATCAGTTCAGATGACAGCTCGCCGTAAGCCCTCACCTGGCTGTATGAGTACGAGTACAGTGCCTTAATCAGTGCAATATATTTTCTTGGAATTCCCTTTACAGCCAAGCATCTCCAGAGAACTTCCCGATCGACAGAGTCGAATGCTGCCTTTAGGTCAAGAAATATAATGACTGTTGGACGCCGGTAGGAATGACTATGTTCTAGAATCTGTCGGAGGGTGAAGATATGATCAATACACCCTCTTCCTGGTCTAAAGCCTGCCTGGCTCTCTCGTGTTTGGGCCTCCCGAGCACCACTTGTTAGAATGTGGAATAACAGTTCAAGAAAAATGTATAACTTATAGTAATAAGCATAAAAATGTAATACTAAATAGAATATCAGATAAAATTAGAGTGGGGAAATTTATGCAACAAATTAAGGATCGTGAAAACCTTGATGGCCAAGGCAATAAGGACAGTGTCTGAAACAACCAACTTCTTTTAGACACACACATAATATAGATTCCTACGGCTTCAGCAATATGTAACAGATGAACTCTTGAGGTGAAATTTAAGATTGGTTAGTATACGGCAGATGACTTTTAAATCCATGTTAACATCAATTTCGTGTTCTCTATCCACAAGATGTGACAGAATAGAGCTATGAATGCATTTTATTTTTGTCCCTTGCTTCACCACCAAGCAGAATGATGTGCAGAAATCTGACGATAAACATGCCTGACTGACTGCACACCCTACGTAACTGGCATGCTCCTTAGGAGCAGTCAAATTGATAGATATGTCCCGAGTGGTACACAAGGCCTCAATATAGAGTCTTGAAGTTTTGGTAGCAGTGTTTTCTTTTCACGCCCAACCTTACCTCTATAGCAGCCTTACTACCAGCGTAGCGAGACCTGAAAGTGCGTCAGGGGTGGATCGGATTCTGGAGTGTATGCGTGGTTGCCGAACCACCAGTGCTTTGATAGATACAAATAGAAGGGGCAAAATTAGGTAGTTTATCCTTAACTCATTTTCACTGCTTTCATTGTTGTTATTATTTCACTAGTGTTATTGTAACGAGAGAAGACAACGGCCAGGCAACAGATCGTTTATTCAGGAAATCAACAGATATTTATGGATTTTTATGTACATTATTATTAGCGTTATTGCTAGCAGAGGAACGGCAACTTCTGATTGGTCGTTTTCTTGCTCATTGTTATTCTGTTATCTCTTATTGGCTGTTTCTTTGAAAGTCAGACCAGATATATCTGCGAATCATATCCGCCCACGCAAAGTCCGGTGTGATTGGTTGTTTAGGTAGTCTTTGTCCTTGTTTCTCATGACGCTGATTTGGGACGTTAACATTCACGTAAATTGCCGTCTACCAATTTCGGCTAGCAGACAGCTCTCACCGCATTATAACTCCAAGAACTGAAGTTGTAAAAATTGGGCTATTCGCGGAGTTGTCAGCTGTTACTTCGGCTTGCCTTAGCTTTACACCCATATTTTTATCGATGAGTTTCTCTGGATAATCATTTTCACCTAGCAAGTGTTTAATAATATCGAGCTCTTTGTTAAGACAGTCATCAGACAGAATTACTCTCGTTGTGTGGAAGAAACACTACTAGAGTACGTTTATATTTCAAGGATGCTTAACTTATGTATTATTATTATTGTTGTTGTTCCCTTGGGTTCCTAGTAAAACATAGAGCTTCAACTGCACGTCTCCACTTGCCACTTCTGTCTTCCTCCTGCTGTAACTTTTCACCTCCATCCATGTTCACCATCCATACTGTTTCAACTCCTCTTCACACGATCTCCTCCATGTCACCCTCGCACTGACGACCCACTCGCCGCGTGCTTCCCTTTCGGCCTGGTTCCACACGAGAAATGGCCTGACGTGCGCGCGATGTCACCCGGCGGCCTCCTCAGCCAGTGAGTGTCCAATATATCATCTCCACTTTCTCCTGAATATTTGTTGGTTGGCGGTTGGTACTTGTTTTGTTTTCTTTGTTCCCATAGTTTCTTGTTGGTGGTGATTCTTTCCGGCCCGGCCATCTGATCTTCAGTATAGAGCCAGCGAAGACAGTTGCTGATAAAAGTCTGCAACAGGCTGTTGGAAATATTCTTTGTGACCTGCCCGCCCGCCAAGTTTCTGATCCGCATAGAAGAACTGACTGACGTTTGTTTGTATTGAAAATCCGACTGAATTTTGTTGTTGATGCTGAGTGTATATATACAAATTAAGCTGGTTCAGACGCTATCCTTATTTACTTTGGCCATCAAGGTTTTAACTATCCCTAATTTATTACATAAAACCCCCCTAATTTTATCTGACATTCTATTTGCTATTACATTTTTATGCTTACTATCATTTATGCATCTCTCCCTTGAACTGTAATTCCATTGATCTTACGTAACAAATCGATATTAATATATTGATTTGCAGAGATCTGATTGGTTACAGGATGCCATCATGAGTTGACATCGGCTAGAGAGTTACATACTAGGACTAAAAAGCTGTTCAGTACCCCCTGATTGGTTTTCCAATGCTTCTCTAACCAATGTCAGTTCATTATGATGAAATACTTGTAACCAGTGAAATCCCTCCAAACCAACAGTTGGATATCAATCGAATACTCACTAGCGACTGGCAGTCCTATTCAAGTGGGTAGTTATCCAAGTTCTAGTGAGAATTTGTGACCAATGAGTTACAGCAAGTTGGTTGTGAGGACAGTTGTAACAACAGAAGACAAGGGCCAGACAACAGATCGTTTATTACAGAAATCAGCACATATTTATAGATTTTCATGTACATATTATAGATTATTCTTAGCAGAAAAACACAGTCTTCTGATTGGTATTTTTCTCACAGAAAGTTAACCTTGCATCTCTTTGTGGCTGTTTCTTGAATGTCAGATCATCTATATGTTAATTGTATCCGCCCACGCAAAGTCTCTGTTCTCATTTTTCTCATGACCAATATTTGGAACATAAACGTTGACGTAAATTACTGTACACCAATTTTGGCTAACAGCCAGCTCTCACAACACAATTACTCGCCACAGATGATATTGGCTAGCTATTACGCTACATCGTGAAGTGGTAAAAGTTACAAATCATGGGTTAGTCAATGAGTGAGGTCCCAATGCCTAGGAACCGGTAGGTCCTGAGTTCGAACACTGTCAGTGGGTGCGTACCAGTGTAGCATTCCAAAGATGGAGGGCAAAGCGGCTGTCTAGTACTTCCTATTGATTTTTCAATGCTTCTCTAACCAATGTCAATTCATCATGATGAAATCTTGTAACCAATCAAATCCTTGCAAAAAACCAATACTTGAAAGTCGAATGTCTAAACTAAGAAATCATGACCTACCTACCTACCTACCTGCATATCCCTGATACCTCTGTTCCTCCCAACCACCCCCATCGCTCCCCCTCTTCAGTAACAAGAAGGAACAAAACAACACATACAAGGAGAAGCAATGTATTCATAAAAAGAGACATATTATGTGAAAGCGAACCGGTGTGAAAACGTGGAATGGTAAGCAAACGGGGCAAATTTAACTTTACACACTGCAATGTATATACCATAATGACAAGTGTAAGTATCCTACTATATTAATAATAATAATAATAATAATAATAATAGTAACAATGAATAGGGGATTGAGAAATCACACAGACACACCCCACTGTGATTGTTTAAAGAAAGGTAAAAAAGATGATGATAATCCTAAAGAAGGAATGGGACAATAGCTTTACGATTTTTAGGGAAATCAGGAAATTCACGTCGATACGCCTTCAACTTCCCAATAGCCCAAACAGTCATTTGACGAAATCCAAAGATTGTGAATAAAAGCGCTGAAAAGTGAAAACAAAACAAGAGGGAAATGAAAGTGATAATGGGACACGGAATAAAAGTATTCTAGGCGAAATAATGCACAGACAAATTCATTACAGACAGACTGACTGACTGAATGAATGACTAACTGACTGACCGATCTCAACATAGAACTTTGCAAAGATTTGCAGCAGTTCAAGTCGCCGCACTAACTCTATGTAGCACACAAAGCAAGAGAAGAAATGCAAAATAGAGACAGTAGACAGGATATGAGACAAAAAGAATAGTAATATCGAAGATCAATATAGTTTCACTGGGTATGATAAGTCACAAGGAGTGGATGCATCTGCGCTAGCTAGTCATTGAGAACGATTTTGAGCCACATCACCGATTGTCTCCAGTCATTGGATTTTACCGTCTACACCTTCCTACGTGGCTGGCTGAAACTAACTGTTGTGGATTTCATTGAATGATGAAGCCATGTTTTGGTTTGAATACCGCTGGCTAGCTCTTTTCCAACCTGACCCTATGTCAGCTAACATTGCCCCCCCCCATCGTCGAGGAAGGCGATGACTAGACATACGTAACACATGTCCTAACCACCTCATTCATTGTAGCTTCACAGCCTCGTCGATTGATTTCCCCTCCTTACCTAGAACTCGACGCCTAACCTCAATATTACTCACCTTATCATACCACTTCACAAGGGAGATAGAACGCAGGAACCTATGATCGAAGACAGCTAATCTTTTTCATGTCTTCCACTCTCAATGGCCACCTCTCACAGCCAGCCATGAAGGAGGATAGAGCGGACTGCTGAGCAATACACCGGCCCTTTGGTCGACAGCCAGTTGGATATCACGTCTACGCCAGAGACGGCGTAAACTGGCATATGCGAAACGAGCCCTCTGTATCCGTTCTGAGATTTCGTCAGCGATTAACCCGCTGGCACTGGCTGATGCAGCTTTTCATATAAGTGAAGCGATCAACGTCCGCTACCACTTTACTCTCTATTTCTAAGCTAGAAGTCTACGTAGTCCAATCATGTAGCATCATTTGACATTTGGCAGGAGCAAATCGCATGCCAAACATTCGAAGATTGCTGCTCACCTCAACGTGTTTACAAAACTCTGCTGCATTTTGTCAGCGTCTTCACCTAAAAGCAGGACTATATCATCAGCATATTTTAAGTTAGCCAGATCATTCCCTGATGGTAATAAGTCAGTCCCAGAGTCTTCGAAGTCAGCAGTTAGGGTTAATTCCATTAGTACATCTATGATGAAATTGAATAGAAACAGGGATAGTGAGCATCCCTGACGGGCTGATTGATTTTCAACATAGAGGCTTGAACAGAACGGTGAAGCACTTCAGAGGTAGCTACACTTCATGTAGGAAATCTTCTGCACTCAGTTAGCATAAAGAACAAAATTCGGATTTTGAATACCGATGTTAAGTCAGTCAGTCAGTCATTCACTTCTTCTATATTGGATCAGAAACTTGACGACCACGTCACAAAAAGCATTTCCAATGGTCAGCTTCCCACTTTATTATTATTTCCTTTAATTCCTAGAGGATTATAGGGCTTCAGCTGCACTTCTCATTGCGTTTGGTTCTCTGCTAAAGTTTTCACATGGCTCCAAGTCTGCCCACATGCTTTCATCTCTCCTTTTCACATGACCTCCTCCAAGTCACTCCACCGTGGGATGACCAACTCGCCACTTCCCTTTCGGGTTCCACTCGAGGGCTTCTCTAATGATGTCACTTGATGGTTTACTTTCTCAGAGTATGGCCAATCCACCTCCATTTCTTCCTGCTTAATTGTTCCACAATCGGTTCCTGCTGAGTTGGTTTGCTCCCAGACATCCCTGCTGCTGATCTTTTCTGGCCATCAGACCTTCAGTATTGAGCGAAGACAACTGTTAATGAAGGTCTGTAGTTTGTTTGAGGTGCTCTTTATGACACGGCGCCAAGTCTCTGATCCGCATAGTGAGTAGCACTGACTGGATTTCACATTGAAGTTGAAAATCTGGATCTTGTTCTTCATGCTGAGTATTGCTGACCACCACAGCGACTTGAGAGTAGTAGTGAAAGCTTGTCTTGCTTTCCCGATCCTCGTTGCTTTGATATCCTCGTCAGTTTCGACTGTAGTTGAAACGATGCTTCCAAGGTCGATAATTAGGTAAAGGAAGTCGTTTGTTTCAGGTTCCTCCCATTTATGCTGACTGATTGTTGTCTATTGTTGTTGTTGTTGCCGTTGGTGTTGTTGGCCAGGAATCTTCATCACTTCTGTTTTCTCAATGTTTACCTGGAGTCCTATGTTTGATACTTCTTCTGCTAATTTGCTGCTTTTCACTTGCACATCTTCTAGTTTGTGGGAAATCAAACATACATCACATCGGTGAAGTCCAGATCCCGCTACTACTCACTTTGCTGACTCCATATTAAAGATCAAATGATCAGCCAGCCAGCCAGAAGGAATTAGCAACAAGAAACTATCGGAATAAAACCAATCACAAGAACCTTTTGCTCAAGAAATATGCAGAAGAAATTGGAGATGGATGAAATGGATACACGAGGAAGAGATCGTCGAGTGATATCTCCAGCCAGGCTATCGCTCTCGAGTGGAACTCGAATGGGGAACGACCAGTGGATCATCCGATAGTGACATGGAGGGGATCATGAGAGGAGGAGATGAGAGACTATGGTCAATCGTGCGCGGAGCTAAAGAGAACAGCAGAAAATAGAACAAAGTGAAGATGTGCTGCTGAAGGCCTAGAGGTACCACTCGAAACCCCAAGGGAACCCTAATATATACATATATACATGTAATAAAAATAAAAACTTACCCGGTAGAGTTTGTGTCATTATTGTAAAACCAATCCATGACAGGACTTCATAGGTGTAGTTAGGACATGCCACCAAGTTGAACATACGCGTGAGAAACCAACCTGGCATTGGATAGGGTATTTTTCTAACAGTTGAACCAGCTGGTCGAAGTCGTTTCAAGGTTAAATGACAACAAAAATTCCCCCATTCACCAATCTAATAAATAATAATAAAAGATGGATAGGCATTCATAATAACCCTTTTAAAATTATTTAAAAGGAAGCAATGAAATTCGTAAGCGATTGTGGAGCCAGTTTGAGAAGGCTACAGAGAGTAGAATGAAATGAAGATGTGCTGCTGAAAGCCTGGGTTTCACTCAGAACAGACGGTGGCACAGTGCTTAGGACTCTCACCGACCATGCACATGGTCCGAGGTTCGATCCCCTGTCGACGCACACCTGATATCTATGGTCTACCTGCAAAATTTGGGCTACCGATATCCATGCTGAAAATTCCATACTTGTACCAACAATACAGTGTGGAATCAAGCTGTAATCAAAAATAAAACAAAAATGAATATTAATAGTGAGTTTATTGGCTGTTTTCCAAAATTCGTCCCACCACACAATATCCATTCTAAATCAGGTGCGGTTGAATTTTTATATTTAACTATATGAGCATAATTTCTAATGAAATTACTTCTAGTTTTACTTCCAGATATACAAAGAGAAAGTTGTGAATGAAAAAGGCCGTTCAGTCTCCGACAAGATGACCGTAGGCAACGGACTTACACAAATTTAAGCGTCTAGCAACAATAGTGTCACTCAAGTATTGGTTTGTAGGGACTTGATTGATCGGTTACAGGATTTAATCATAAGCTGACATCGATTAGAGAACTATTGGAAAACCTGAGAGTACTGGACAGCCGTTTCGTCCCAATTCGGGACTCTTCATGGGTATGCACTCACCGGGGTTAAAACACACGTCGTGGAATGGCAGAAGTTCGAATTCATGGGCCACTCGATCGGATCCAAGTGGCTTATTGGCGCACAAGCTCGCTTTGTAAGCGGAAGGTCCTGGGTTCGAGCCCAGTGAGTGCGAACTGATGAAGAGACCCAAGATAGGACAAAACAGCTGTCCAGTACTCCCAGGTTTTCCACTGGTTCTCTAACCGATGTCAGCTTATGATGAAATACTGCAACTAAACAATAGTATCAGTTAGTCGAGTAGGCAGAGGCAAACCACTAAGCCTGCTTCTGTCTGTCTGTTTTCGACATAGAACTTGCACAAATGTGCGGAAATTCAAGTCGCCACATTCCGTGTAGCACGCGAAGCAAGAGAAGAAAGTACAAGAAAAGCATAATAGAAACAGTGAGGAGAGGTGTGAGAAAAGGAGTAATAAAGAAATACAAAACAATTTCATTGAAGATCATAAGTCACAGGGAGTGGATGCATCTGCGCCACTGAGAACGATTTTGAGCCATGTCACCAATTGTTTCCAACCATTTGTTTTTACCGTCCCGAGGACCCCAGCCTGGGAGTCTACACCTTCCTACGTGGCTAAGACCAACTGTTGTGGATTTCATTGACTGATGCCAAGTTTTTGTTTGACCGCCGCTAGCTTTTTTCCAGCCTGACCCTATATCCGCTAACATTGCTCGTCGAGGGAGGCGATGACTTGGCATACGTAACACATGTCCTAACCATCTCAGTCTTTGTAGCTTCACGACTTCGTCGATTGATTTCCCCTGTTTACCTAGAACTCTACGCCTAACCTCCATGTTGCTCACCTTATTATGCCACTTTACACGGGAAATAGAACGCAGGCACCTATGATCAAAGACAGCTAGTCTTTTCATGTCTTCCACTCTCAGTGGCCAGGTCTCACAACCATAAAGGAGGACGGAGCGGACTGATGAGCAGTACACCCGCCCTTTGGTCGATAGTCGAACATCTCGTCTACGCCAGAGTCGGCGTAAACTAACAAATGCGAAACGAGCCCCTTGTATTCGTGCTGAGATTTCGTCAGAGATCAGCCCGTTGGGGCTGATGGTACTTCCCAAATAAGTGAAGCGGTCAACGTGCTCTACCACTTCACTTCCTATTTTTAAACTAGGCGTCGATGTAGTCCAGTCCTGTAACATCATCTTGCATTTGGCGGGAGCGAATCGCATGCCAAACATTCGTAGATTGCGGCTCAAGGTGTTTAGAAGACTCTGCATTTCGTCAGCGTCTTCGCCTAGAAGGACTATATCGTCTGCATATTCCAAGTCAACGAGATTATTCCCCGGTAGCAAGTCAATCCCTGAATCGCTGAAGTCACCTAGGGTTAAGTCCATTAACACATCTATGATGAAGTTGAATAGAAAAGGAGATAATGGGCATCCTTGACGGACACCACTGGTCGTCATCAGTTCAGATGACAGCTCGCCGTAAGCCCTCACCTGGCTGTATGAGTACGAGTACAGTGCCTTAATCAGTGCAATATATTTTCTTGGAATTCCCTTTACAGCCAAGCATCTCCAGAGAACTTCCCGATCGACAGAGTCGAATGCTGCCTTTAGGTCAAGAAATATAATGACTGTTGGACGCCGGTAGGAATGACTATGTTCTAGAATCTGTCGGAGGGTGAAGATATGATCAATACACCCTCTTCCTGGTCTAAAGCCTGCCTGGCTCTCTCGTGTTTGTGCTTCCCGAGCACCACTCAGTCTACTAAGCCTGCTTACGTACAGCCTTTAAATTCCTGCATCTACGACACTGGAAACGATATTGGGCAGCATCATCAATACTCTCCAGTCTTAATGGCTTTCAGAACGCTGAGGAACCCAAACAAACAGTCTACAGGTCCCTACGTGGCCGGCTCAAATCAACTATCAAAGTGTTCATAGACTGATGCGGGGTTTCGGTTTGACCAACGCTAACCCTTCTCCAACCTAATCCACCAACGTCAGTTAGCACAGTTTGTTGGAGAAGGCGACGGCTCAGCATACACACAACACATGTCCTAGCCATCTGTGACTACTGGATGCAGTTTCAAGACCTCATTATAGATTGAATAACCCCGTTCTAACTTAGCATGTGGTAGTAAGCCACCAAAAAGGGTATCTTACCTATTCTACTTTACTGCTCCCCGTTAGTCTTTCCTGGGCTACTGAAAAAGGACTATACCATCCTGAGAAGGATGTTGAAGGTAGTTAGTAGGAATAGTGGTATAAAACTCAGTCAGCTCGTCACTACATTAGTAGAAAGGCATCTGAATACATGCAAGAAATGGTCTAAAACCATACTCTCCAACCCCCAACACCCCGCCTATTCCCAACTCTCTCCTTGTATCTCATCACGTAGAACAAGAAATCAGTATAAAATAATATATGCTCGTACAACCAAGTACAGGAACTCAACGATACCATACTTGGCCCGTGTTCTAAGTGACAGAGACAATGTTAAGAGCGAAACCTATGACTTGCTTTGTTGTTAATAACATAATTTTGGCTCTTTTATTTCTCTCTTATTTGTACTCTATAGTGAACAACCTTCTTAAACATACTTAGCTACCTAAAACTATTATCATTGGCTTACTTTTCTTGTTCTTTATTCTATTCCTTCTTTTGTGTATCTACTGGTCCCGACTATATTATCCCTATGAGTATTACAAAATTTTCCTGTCATTAACCATCATGTAATATTAGTTTTGCGATTATTTTTTTTGTTCGGCACTATTTAACTGACAATCTTGGTTGTGAGCGCCATTATCACCATCTTAAAAAATTTTGTATTATGCATCATTACTAACACTACCATTACAAACACCGCATTAGCGCTGACAATAAAAAGCAACAACCTGAAAATGTTTATTTTATGATTGTTTAGTGTAGTTCAATCAAATTAACTGATCATCTTAGCGATAAACATTCTTAAATATCATTTCATAACTTCTTGTATAATTATAGCTGTTACTGTTCACCACGCATAAACATATTATAGCTTCCACTATCCAATACCCAATACTGTGCGTCGGTGGCACAGTGGTTAGGACTCTCGCCAACCATGCACATGGTTTGAGGTTCGAGCCCACGCTGACGCACACCTGATATCTATAGTCGGTCTGCAAAATTTGGGCTACCGATATCCACGCTGAAAATTCCATACTTGTACCAAAAATACAGTGTGGAATCAAGCTGTAAATCAAAAATCAAATCAAAAATATTATTTATTATTGTTGTTTATTTTCCTTTTTACTTCTTGGTATTTTTTCGCTTTTTTTTGCTATTTTGTGTTTTTTTTTTGTTTTTTATATTTATTTTTTTGAAATACTCCTTTTTAAATTTTTGATAAAATCAGATGCAATATTGTAGATAAGTGCTGAAAATTCCACACTGTATGACTAGTACTGGTTCTGGAATAAAGCAATTAAGAAAAAGGCACAAAACAGCGAAGAAAATTTTCCCTTTTCGACGACGATTCATTTTCATGAGCTGCAGTACAATCGTAATTATAATTAAACACATAAGTTTTTTTGGACCAATCAGATACTGGTAAACTTTGTCCTTGAAAAATTCTACTACATAATGTGAGGTGTAAGAAGGGAGGACTAATCGCAAGTTAGAACGGAGACAGAAGCTGGGATATCTTAACAAGTGTGAGATAATGACTAATCAATAAGCTCAGCTCGTGTAGAATGGACAGGAACTAATGGAAAGGCTTCACAGTGAATGTTACACACAGTCTCTCAGCATCGTACAAAGGGACTTTGCATATGCCATCTGTACATAGCAGAAGCATTAGCTATTCGAGATCTGAAACCGGACCTCTGCATACAAAAGCGATACATACATTCACTTGCCCTACCATGACCAGACTAAAGTCCTTACAAGTATTGGTTTTGTAGGGATTTGGTTTGATTGTATGGAGGAGTCCTTACTACAATTTCGCTTTCCTTTATTATGTAACATCACTATTATTATTATTATTATTATCATTATTATTTCCATCATCCACATTTTATGACCACTCTATTACTGTTTATTAATAACATTGCCTTTTCATACAGATTTTATACGAAAACACTTTATCATCATTCCACTAGTTCCTGTCGATTCTACACAAGCTGAGCTTATTGATTAGTCATTATCTCACACTTATTACGTCACGCCATCTTCTGTCTCTTTTCTAACCTCCAATTAGTCATCCCTTCTTACACCTCACATTATGTAGTACAATTTTCAAGGGCAAAGTTTACCAGTATCTGATTGTTCTAAAGGTTTCTTTGTTTAATATAATTACGATGGTGAACATATATTGTGCAATTAGTCATAATAGTGGTAATGATTATATCAATAATAATAATAATGGTCTTATCAATAAATAATAAGGATGAAAAGATGAGGCAATCTGTGATAACACGAATAATGAAAAACAGTATGATTAAACACACAGCTGAGGCGATAGGCATTCGAACTATTAAACCTAAACTTTGCATTCATAAGAAGTTCGTACAGCCATTATCCCTCCCGTGGCCTAATAAGACATAACCAACTGATGACTTCTAGACCACCCCTTATTTATATTTTCAACCCCAGTCTCTTATCATCCCTTAATCTTATCTTCATTATAAACGTGCTTCATTTCCTTCCCTTACAATCCAACATTACTTAACCGGTTCATTTGTTTTTACTGGCCTTTATCGACTACTTCCACCTGAACAACTGTTTGTTTAATCATACTGTTTTTCATTATTCGTGTTATCACAGATTGCCTCATTTTTTCATCCTTATTATTGATAAGACCATTATTATTATTATTACTATTATTAATATTATCATTACTACTATTATGACTAATTGCACAATATATATTCACCATCGTATTATCCTATAGACAAAAAACACCATGATTGGTTTATATTTGAATTTTAATATAATTACGATTGTACAGCAGTTTATGAAAATGAATTGTTGAGACGGCAGAATTTTCTTCGCTTTTGTGCCTTCTTTGATATGACCCAATAAAGCAATTATTATTATTTTAAAAAAAAGTTGGGCGTAAAGCAAAGCTAGCAACTCTCTACCGCAACTAAGACTTCAAAAAATCTTGAAGTCTTATGTTCAGCTTGAAAGGTAAGGAATCAAAAAAGGAAGAAACAACGTTGTTTCTAAAGTGTATAAACATCAACTGTAAATAGTGACAAAAATATGACTTACTACAAACAATAAGAAACCGATTACTATTTGTGTATGACCAAAAGCTGAAAAAGGAAAACAGAAATGTGCGGGTTATAGATTTCAGTCAAGTTGAACTTCAATCAAACGTAGAATTGGTTGGTGGTGACTAGCAGTGGAGTCCAGGACAATGCGCATTTCGTCCTATTCGGGACTCGTCAGCTATCTGGATGTACCTGCATTTCCCAGTGAGTGAGTCAGTGATGTTCCCACCGAGGCTCGAACCCAGTGCCCATAGTTTCAAACGCCAAAGCGTTATCTACTAGACTACTACTTGGGCGACGAGAGCTACTAGCTCTTGTGCAACGGGTCATGTTAGTTTAATTGAATTTTAGATTTTCCCGTCGATTGACTGGACCAGAGTGCTCGGTCTCAGGTTGACATGTCGGCCGCTACTTGTGCAAATGCTTCCACCAATTAAATTCTAATTAAATGCCCGGACATTGTCGAAGCATCTGCACAAGAAGCCAACATGTCAACCTGAGAGTGAGCACTTCGGTTCAATGAATAGACAGGAAAATCTAAAATTGAGTTAAATTCAGTCAAACATGTTTAAAGCGATATATATATATATATATATATACACTTTGGTCGATAGTCGGATATCACGTCTATGCCAGAGACGCCATAAACTGGCATATGCTAAACTAGCACCCTGTATCCGTGCTGAGATTTCGTCAGAGATCAATCCGTCGGCACTGGCTGATGCAACTTCCCAAATAAGTGAGGCGGTCAACACACTCTCTACCACTTCAATCCCTATTTCTAAGGTAGGAGTCCTTAAACATAATCTTACATTTGGCGAGAGTGAGTCGCATTCCAAACATTCGCAGATTGATTGCTGCTCACCTCAAGGTGTTCAGAAGACTCTGCTTGATTTTGTCAGCGTCCTCACCTAAAAGGAGGACTATATATCAGTTTCAGTAACTGATATGTATCCACATATATATATTTATGTGTGTGTGCATGTTGGTCTCTCTTTCTGTTTGCTCGGTTAGTCTGTGACCACTTCACTTGTATGGACCTGTCTCCTTTAACAATGTATATTCCATATTATATTATATATAATATGAGTGTTTGTTGACAGTCCGTTGCTTGGTGACATATATCCATATATGTTGTTGGCATGTCTGCTATATTCGCTATGTATAGTTGGATCGACACTCCATTATAATTAGCCATTCATGTTAAGACTGTCTAATGATTTTTCCCACGCTTGTCTGAATTATTTATATATATTCGCATTCACAATTTGTGTGAACTACTTTACTTTACAACTACTTTACTTACTTACCACTTTGGTGTGAGACCATTTATTTTCGTCTCCTTGTGTTTGGACAATAGAAGTATCATCGCAAACCTAGTGGTCTTCTGATTTCCGCCTTCTCGCGTCAGGACTATTAGTTTCTCGACCAGTCCATAACAATAATTCAGCGACGAGTACATAACAATTTGGCGACGGGGAAAACTACTATTAACCACACAGCAGCAGCAACATAACAATTTACTATGGATCCTTTTAAATTGGAATTATTGTTTGAACGACAAATGAAATTAATGGAAATGTTCGTCAACCAACAGACTGGTCCAGCTTCACCTTCAAGCAATCCCAATCATACCATGCTACCATCTGTCGACGGAATTGTGAACAGTATTTCACAGTTCAATTATGACCCAGAGGCTAATGTCACTTTTGACACATGGTATCAACGTTATGAGGATTTATTCACTGTTGATCTCGCCTCACAAGACGATGCCTGGAAGGTGCGAGTTTTGCTACGTAAATTGGGTCCGGCAGAATATGAACGGTACTGCAACCTAATTTTACCACAGAAACCACGTGACAATTGTTTCGATGATACAATAAAGCTGCTGCGTGAACATTTTGGAGACCACTCCTCATTATTCAGTATACGTTATCGTTGCCTCAAGCTGACAATGAATGAAAATGATGATTTTCTTACTCACGTTGGCACAGTCAACCGAGAATGTGAGAGATTTCGACTCAGGTCCTTAACAGATGATCAATTCAAAGCCTTGATTCTCATATGCAGTCTCCAATCTCCTCGTTTCACAGATATCCGAACTCGACTGCTCAATCAGCTAGAACAAAATCCCAAGTTAACATTACATGACATAGCTGATGAATATCAACGGCTGATTAATCTGCAGAAAGACACACACCTGGTCGAATCAACACCTTCGAGAAGCTCTGATATTCGTGCATTACGAAAGAGCAAAAATCTCTCATCATCTACTCCTGACCCACCTACTTCTCTAATGTCCCGCGGAAATCTATACATACTCGTCCAACTTCACAAAATACGACAAAGAAGACCCCACCATCACCATGCTGGCATTGTGGCGCGTGGCACTTTGTAAAGTCTTGTCCATACAAAAATCATCGTTGCAGCAAGTGCAAAATCATCGGTCATAAAAATGGTTTTTGTCAGCCACGCAAACCCAGATATCATAATCCAGCAAAAGCTCAACAAAATGTTGGTCCTAAATCTCCAAGGAGATCATTGAGTCTACTCGCAACCTGTCAAGTCATAATTCCATGTATGCGGAAATATCTTGACCTTCAGATGAATGGTCATGATGCACGTCTGCAGCTAGATACCGCCTCTGATATTACTGTTATATCAAAGAAACTTTGGAATAATATTGGCAGACCACCTATCACCAATACTTCTCAGACTGCTGTCAGCGCCTGTGGTGGGCGCCTCAAACTAATTGGTGAACTCGAATGTTCTGTTTCCTTCCGCGATATCAAATTCACAGGAATTTGTTACGTCACCAAGAGTGATTTAAATCTTTTGGGACTTGATTGGTTCGATCGTTTACATCTGGCTGATGTCCCACTTAGTTCTGTATGCAACGCAGTTAACAAGGATGAAAATTCAGCCAACTCCTTTTCTGATTTATGCAAACTATTCGCACCTGTTTTTCAGCCCGGATTAGGTCACTGTACCTCGCTGCAAGCTACCTTTCGAGTATTACCAGACGCAAAACCGGTTTTTCGCCCAAAGAGGCCAGTTCCATATGCATCTGTACCAAAAGTTGACGAAGAATTGGAGAGACTGCAACAACAAGGCGTATTAACACCAGTCACGTACTCGGCATGGGCAGCACCCATCGTCGTTGTCAAGAAAGCGAATGGGTCCCTACGTATTTGTGCTGATTTCTCTACTGGGTTGAATGCTGCATTAGAACAGCACCACTATCCTTTACCTACACCGGATGATTTATTCACTGTTTTAAATGGTGGATCTTATTTTGCAAAACTGGACCTTGCTGACGCATATCTACAAGTGGAAGTAGCCCCAGAATGCCGAGAACTCCTTACCATTAATACACATCGCGGTTTGTTCCAATACAACAGATTACCTTTCGGAGTTAAAACTGCCCCAGCTATTTTCCAACAACTGATGGATACTATCTTGGCAGGTATTCCGGGTGTTGCCGTCTATCTTGATGATATCTTGGTGGTAGCGAATTCTATAAACGAACTTTACAGCAGGACAGAAGCTGTTTGTCACGCATGCAGGACAACGGTCTACGACTACGCTCAGAGAAGTGTCAGTTCTCCTTGAGATCTGTCAAATACCTTGGATTTATATTTGATGCATCGGGTAGACGTCCAGATCCTGACAACATACGTGCTATAAAAGAGATGCCCGCACCTACTGATGTGCCTTCCTTACGCTCTTTCTTGGGATTAATTAGCTATTACTCTGCATTTCTCCCTGCGCTGCATAATGTTCGACACCCCCTCAATCGACTACTCGAAAAGAATGCAACCTGGAAATGGTCCGAAGCTTGCAGATCAGCTTTTGAAAAGTTGAAGTCTATGTTAACTTCTGAATTGCTTCTGACACATTATAGTCCAACACTTCCAATTATAGTTGCAGCGGACGCTTCAGCAAGCGGAGTGGGAGCTGTCATTTTACATGTCTTCCCAGATGGTTCACAAAAAGCAATAATGCATGCATCTCGAACACTAACTGCGGCAGAAAAGAAATATGCACAAATTGAAAAAGAAGCCTTAGCTTTAGTTTTCGCCGTACGACGTTTTCATAAAATGATCTACGGCCGCCGATTTACCTTGCTGACAGATCATAAACCGTTACTTTCCATTTTCGGATCTAAATCAGGTATCCCGGTACATGCAGCTAACCGACTACAACGCTGGGCAATAATATTACTTGGATACGATTTCGATATTAAATACAACCGAACTAACGAATTTGGTCAAGCCGACGCTCTATCTCGGCTAATTAGCGACTATCCTGCATCAAGTGAAGATATGGTAATTGCATCGATCGCCACCAAAGACTATGCAGTTAACCTCATCGACAATGCTATTCGATCTCTACCAGTAACGTTTGCAGAAATCCAGCGAACTACAAGCACCGATGCCACCTTACGACGTGCTACACAGTATGTATCCAGTAATTGGCCAAAGATTAAATATAGTGGAGACCTAAAACACCTGTTTGCCCGTCGTGATTCCTTATGTGTTGTAAAAGATTGCTTGATGTTTGGAGAACGCGTAGTGATACCTGAAGCATTACGAAATAAACTCCTGAAACAGTTTCACATGGGACATCCTGGTATTCAGCGGATGAAGAGTATTGCTCGCAGCTACGCATACTGGCCTAATATGGATAAGCATATTATCGACTTTGTTCAACGATGTTCAAAATGTCAACAATCAGCAAAGCTACCCCACCAGCTACCTCCCGTACCGTGGCCTCCAGCATCCCATCCTTGGTCCAGAATTCATATTGACTTTGCTGGCCCTACAAATGGTGCATACTATTTAGTGGTGGTAGACGCTTTTTCTAAGTGGCCAGAAGTTATACCAATGGTTTCGCCGACAACGTCCCAGACTCTCAAAGCTCTCACTGACATATTCTCCCACCATGGTCTCCCAGAAACCATAGTTACAGACAATGGTTCGCAGTTTACCTCTCATCAGTTTCAGCAGTTCTGTCATCAAAATGCTATCGAGCATATGTTCACACCGCCGTATCATCCTCAGTCAAACGGCCAAGCGGAACGTTTTGTCGACACTTTGAAGAGAGCCTTACTCAAAGCAGAGGGAGAGGGGACACCATTTGACATCATCCAAAAATTCTTGATGGTGTACCGTACAACGGCGAATGAGTCAACACAGAACAAGAAATCGCCGGCAGAAATTCTCTACGGACGCAAACTTAGAACGATTCATAACTCAATGTTACCACCGACACTCAAACATGCCGACGCATCATTTCGGAATGAAAAAAAATTTGATGTTGGTGACCCTATCTATGTCCGCGACTATCGAGGAGGACATAAACCTTGGAATAAAGGTTCCATCTCAGCACGACGTGGTCGAGTTATGTACGACGTGAAAGTTGGAAATGAATTATGGACCCGTCACTACAATCAGTTGCGGCCAAGAAACTCAAATATCCCTACCAGTACACAGTCATCCCTACCTCTGGATATTCTCTTGGATACTTTTAACTTACCTACGACTGACAAAACAGAAAAGCAGAAGTGCCCAGCTCAGACAACGTCAGACAAAGCAGAAGCCGCAAACTCAACAAGCAGACGAAGCAACAGACGTCGACAACAAACTGAACGGTTTCAGATAAACCCCAAGAAAGCACGCTATTAATCATCAATCTTCTCAAAAGGGGAGGTGATATGTATCCACATATATATATTTATGTGTGTGTGCATGTTGGTCTCTCTTTCTGTTTGCTCGGTTAGTCTGTGACCACTTCACTTGTATGAACTTGTCTCCTTTAACAATGTATATTCCATTTATATTATATATAATATGAGTGTTTGTTGACAGTCCGTTGCTTGGTGACATATATCCATATATGTTGTTGGCATGTCTGCTATATTCGCTATGTATAGTTGGATCGACACTCCATTATAATTAGCCATTCATGTTAAGACTGTCTAATGATTTTTCCCACGCTTGTCTGAATTATTTATATATATTCGCATTCACAATTTGTGTGAACTACTTTACTTTACTACTTTACTTACTTACCACTTTGGTGTGAGACCATTTATTTTCGTCTCCTTGTGTTTGGACAATAGAAGTATCATCGCAAACCTAGTGGTCTTCTGATTTCCGCCTTCTCGCGTCAGGACTATTAATTTCTCGACCAGTCCATAACAATAATTCACCGACGAGTACATAACAGTAACAATAGGCTGATTTTATATTTCTACAAGGTGGGGGAGTTGCCCATCTCACGCCCAACTTTCCCTCTTCTTCTCCAACCTTACTGCCGTAAGGTTAACGAGGTTTAAGTGTTACAGGATTTCATCATGAGCTGACATTAGTTAGAGAACCGCTGGAAAACCAACCAGGGAGTACTGGACAACTGTTTCGTCCTTGTAAGCTCGCCTTGTAACCAGAAGGTCCTGGGTTCGATGCGTACTGCTGAAGAGTCCAAAACTAGGCTGACGAAACAGATGTCCAGTACTCCCTGGTTAGTTTTCCAATGGTTTTCTAACTAATATCAGCTCATGATGAAATCCTGTAACCAATCAACCAAGTCGCTATAAACCAACGCTTGAGGTTTAAGTGTATCGGCCGAGGATCGAAGCCTGAACCACACACCATATATATGGCTTAATTGGTGAGTGTTTATTTTACCACTGAAGCACAGACGCCCTCTCTTTGTTCATTACTACTCAATAGATATTTACAAATTTTTAAAAAAAACTTACTAGGTGGTGTATATAAATGATGATTTGTAAAATAGCCAACAAATAAACCAAATCCATAATAATATGTACAATTGATAAATAGATTGCGTAACGGCATTGTAGCATGCGAAAATCGATGAATGAACGCGGTCTCCAATAAACGTTTCACATAATGCAGACACCAACAAGCTAAAGCAACTTTACGTAAATAAGCATCCGATGATATTGGAGGTAGGAGAGAATTTTTGAAAAATGGTTGTCTCAGGCACCAAACAATTATATAAATAACTAATGGACCTGTATATTCAACTAAGAAGACAGTACGCCAGCCAATTTGTGGGCCTAAATCTTTTACATATAAATTTAAGCAGTCAGATGTATCAGAGGTATTGGTTAAATCGCAGAGTCGTTTATTATCATTTATTGATTTCCCTCCTAAAAATAAAACAAAACAAAAACAAAAAAAATTGATAGGAGTAAGAAGTCATTACACAAAAAAATGGAGAGGTGATTGCTTAAATTTACTGAATGACTGACTGATTTTAACAGAATGCTGTTCAGGAAGACTTCGTGTGTTTTTGGAAGTGTGTGTGTGGGCGGTTGTTAATTCCCGACTGCCCACACCGTGAAAGTTGGTACTTGAAACAGAGAGAGGGTTAGTGTTGCGTGACCGCAGAGCAGAACCCAGGGGACAACTGCTTGAGACCGGGCGGTCACACACACAGCCTGTATGAACTGGTTTCTTGGTTTGGTTCTGTATTAGTAAACTTACCGCCGGTTACGGACCACCGTAGGTGGCGTACGTCGGGACCTTTTCTAACCCCCTCTTTCCGGAGTGGAGAGAAAGATTCTTACACAATGCCGGTAACTGCTTTTGGTCTAATCGCTATCCTAACAACCTTCCTGGCATGGTAGGACCTGCAGGAGGAACATTGGTTCCAGCCAGTGCAGCTTGTTGGGTCATCGCGATGTGCAAGCCCGATACCACCACGTCAAGGTAGCAGCTATCTGTCGGTGGTTTTAACACAGAACTTTCCACGGATATGTAGCAGTCCCAGTTGCCACTCTCCCTCCATGTAGCACACAAAGCAAGATAAGACAGTGAATAGAGATAATAAACAGAAGTGCGAATGAGGCAAAAAGAATAGTAGTAATATGAAAGAACAATAGTTTCATTGCATAAGATAAACCACAAAGAGTGAATGCATCTGTGATGGCCATTGAGAATGATTTTGAACCAGCCATATCACGAATTGTCTCCAGGCACCGTCATTGGTTCCTACTATCCCAAGGACCCGAACTAGCCAGTCAGGAAGTCTACACCCCCCTATGTGGCGGCTAGCTGGCTGGCTTCATTTAACTGCTATAGATTTCAATGGTTGATGAAACCATGTTTCGGTTTGACCACCATGTGCTAGCTCTTTTCCAACCTGATCCATCCTGTGTCAGCGACTAACATTTCCCAATGTCGAGGAAGGCGATGGATGGTTAAACACATATCCTAACTATCTCTCTCAATCGATGAATCTACTTCACAACCAACTGGTCGGTCGATTGATTTTCCCTCCTCCTTACCTACTGCTCACTCAACAGATGCTTAACCTCAATATTACTCACCCTATTATCCCACCAACCAACACATACAGGAGATAGAATGCAGAAACCTATGATCAAAGACAGTCTCCTACTTTCAATGGGCATGCCTCACTCATTGTGATAGAGGAGGATGCAGAGAACTGCTGAGAAGTACACGCGTACTTTCGTCGACAACCAGCTGGATATCACGTGTATGTCAGAGACAGTATAAGTTGGTAGGCAAATGCCAGATGAGCTGTCTATATCCTTGCTGAGATTTATTCAGCGATTAACCTAATCAAGGGGAATAACTGGTCCGCATAGCTGCTAATTATCTGACATAAATTATACCACGTTATGTGACTGGTAAAAGGCAGAATATCCAATGTACAGCTTTGTGAAAATAGTGCAGCAGTTCAAGTTGTCACATTTTACAAAGCTTCCACGAAGGTGGAAAGGGAGAAAACCAGCGGAATGAATAGGAACTATAATAAATGGCGACGTCTGTCTATCATTTTTCCGACATAGAACTTCGAACCGATGTGTACCGGTTCAAGTCGCCACACTCCCTCCATGTAGCACACAAAGCAACAGAAGAAAGTAAAAAGAAATGCATAATAGAGACAGTAAACACAGATGTGAGACAAAGGAATAGTAATAAAGAAGAACAATATGGTTTCATTTGAAATTATAAGTCACAAGGAGTGGATGCATCTACACAAGCTAGCCAGCCATTGAGAACGATTTTGAGTCATATCACCAATTGTTTCTAGCCTTCATTGGTTTTTACCGTCCCGATGACCCCAACCAGTCAGGGAGTCTACACCTTCCTAAGTGACTGGCTTAAACTAACTGATGTGGACTTCATTGACTGGGGAGGCTATGCTTTGGTTTGACCGCCACTAGCTTGCTCTTTTCCAACCTCATTGATCCTATGTCAGCCAACATTGCCCCCATTGTCGAGGAAGGCGATGGCTAGGCATACGTAGCACATGTCCTAACCATCTCAGTCGATGCAACTTCACAGGCTCATCGATTGATTTCCTCTCCTCCTTACCTAGCAATCCACCGAGGCCTAACCTCAATATTGCTCACCTTATTATACCATATCACACGGGAGGTAGAGCGCAGGCACCCATGATCGAAGACAGCTAATCTTCTCATGTCTTCCACTCTCAATCACCAGGTCTCACAGCTGGCCATAAAGGAGGGCGGAGGGAACTGCTGAGCAGTACAAACCCCCCTTTTGTTCGATAGCCAGATATCACGTCTACGCCACAGACGGTATAAACTGGCATACGCGAAACTAGCCCTCTGTATCCGTTCTGAGATTTCGTCGGAGATCAACACATTGGGGCTGATGGTACTTCCCAAATAAGTGAATCGAACTTAGAGCAAGAAGAAGAAGGGAAAATAATCTTTGAGTTTGTGGATTAAATGAACCCACGCAGTATATGCTGCTTTTAAAAATATTTATCAACTTTTATTCAAGAAAAAACTGATTTAATGGTGATGGCGATAATTTGTTTTACTCTGAAACAGTACGCATGATACAGCTTGGAATTCTCAGTATCTGCTATAGCATTGCATCCAGCTTAACTCGACAACAGTTAGAACAAATTTATATTACAATGTATAGGTAAAGAAAATTTATAATAGCAGCCTCTTCGGTATTAGCAGTGACAATAAAGTAGAAATGGAAGAAACGTGTGGAATGATGATAATACTGTTAGTAGGTAAACATTGCTTAAAATAATGTCACCATAAGTTAGAAATAGAAGTCTAAAGAGCCAATTACTTTGCTAATTACACTCTGAACACTATGTTTATCACATAGAACGCGGTCCAAGTAAGGTAGAGTATCATTGGGTTTTCATACTTTGTTGTACGAGTATATGGTTTTCTTGTGTTACTTGATGATGCAGGGCTGGGAGAGTTGTGAATAGAGAGGGTGTTGAGAGTCTGACAATATAGATTTAGACCGCTCCTCGCATCAGTTCAGATGTCTGTCGGCTACAATATTAACGAGCTAACTTAGTGGCACACCACTTGTCTGCCCTACTGACAACCCTCAATAACTTGAGCAATATGACAGAGTCCTTTTTAAGTAACCCAGGAAAGACTAAGGGGTGGGGGAGACGTAAAGAACTATGGGTAAGATGCAAGAGTTACCAGTTTTTAGGAATAGGGGTTGAATGATACCCGATTTTCTTAACTTCTTAACGTAGATAGTTACACGAAACATTTTCTTATAAACCAACAAGATATGAGACGGCAGAGAAAAGACACAGGACAGAACTATTCCAAGGTATCCTGTGCTTGATTTAGTTTATATTTCAGTACCCCCTGTGAGACAAGCATCTTGTGAACGGACGAGTTCATGTAGATCATGTTTATGCTTGAAGGTGAAGTTAACTAACATTTAGAGGGATTTAATGTAAGACCTTTCAGCATGGACCATTAGCTGAAGTCCGACAAAAAGCCATTCAGTTTGGAATAGCTAGATTGGATGTAACTATCGAGACAGTCAGACCATCAGTGTATTCAACGAAATTGATTTCTTCCAAAAACAGCAAGTCATGTAAGAGGAAAAAAGAACAGCACCTTGAAGGACACAGACTTCAGTAAGCAGAACGGCGGAAGAGGCATTGCCTTTTAAATACAATGCACTGCATTCTATTAGCGAAACAAGAATGCAACCAGTTAACAGCTCAGGACGCGGTTTGTGTCAGGGAGGAGGAGGATAGATGACTACTTACAGGAAAATGTGGATAATAAAACAAATTAAAATAAATGACATCAACTATAAATCTATCCCTAATCGTAACCATAGGCTTGATCCTGACCCTAACAATAACCCTAACCCTTACCTAAACCGTAATTCCAACCCTATGGCTTATTATAACCCTCATACTAAACCTAACCCCAACACTTAACTTAACCCTAATTCGAACCCTAACGAGCTATTAACACATTGTCCAAACAGTACTTAAAAACACGTGATCTGTGTGAAATTTGCTCTTAGGTTGATATTTCAGTTATGATAATGACAGACGCTGTTAGCCAACGACTAACATGCGTTCAAGGTCACCGGAGCGATCACACTCCTGGGACGCTTTTGTTGAGCTTCGCCCCCAGCACTACTCCTTTTGGAGTCAACCAAAGCTACGACAGTCGAGTGGCGGGACGAGCTGCGCAGAAGTTTACCGTAGATCAGGAAGCTATATCTTACAATCAAGAAGCGAGCACAAAGAAATCAAATTGGTTTATACTAGATCGTAAAAACGATATTGGATATTGGAAAGTTAAAATAGATTGCATTTCTTACTATCCTGAGAGGTCTTCACACTTAATCCAAAGAATGAGAACTGCCAACTGGTCATTAAGCAGCTTATCATGTCAAATTTAAAAGATTTAAAAATTTATTCGAGCAGGAAAAGCTTCGAAATAATGTGCATTTATCCTGTTCCTTACACAGCTAGTTACGTGCCAGTTGAAAAGAAAAAACTTGAAAACACAGATGCCTGGTCGTATGTTCGGAGTCATGCAGCTTTCCTCAAAAAACGAAAGACAAAATAAGGTTGTTCATAAGAGACTTCTTTAGCAAGGAAGTTCTTATAATAACTAAACATGTATTTGTGAATATATATATATATATATATATATATAGAGAGAGAGAGAGAGAGAGAGAGAGCTGAAAACAGTCAACTTACGTGGCTCAAGACGAATGCTCTGCCTGACTAACTTTGGTTTTCTTTCTGAAAAAAGAGTGCTAGACAAATTTAAACATTACTCTCTTCATATATCCGTTTCTTTACATCCAAAATGACAGCATCATTTGGGATCTAAAAGCTATAATTTAAGGAAATGATAAGTATTTACGTTTTCCCATGTCAGCAACACTTTATCGGTTTTACACTCTCGAACAAATACCTAGAAGTAAACAAAAATCTCCACAACTTGCCTTCATCTCCGACTTGTTCAGATGACCTTGTAAAGCTAACTGAGTGCCACTATTACGACCTTAATTTCCAATATCCAATATCATTTTAGGAGCTATTGTAAACCAAATCAACTCCTCTGTGCTCAATTCTTGGTTGCAAAGCAAAGCTCCTAGTTTTGGTAAACTTCTGCTTAGTTTAAAGTGGTTTTTAATAGTTCACCACCGAATATTCGGATTCTGACTTTTTGTTGAAGATAGAAATCTTCAACCCTCGTTAACCCTTTTCTGATAAATATCTCTGCCCGTCCTATTCCTTCTTGAAGAATCGGATCTAGGTTGAAGATAATTATTCTTCTGTAGGTCGCTTCCAAGAGTTTGATGTGTCATGGTGAGAAAACCAGTGCACCAAAATGACATAATCCTTCCGGTTGGAATTATGCGTCACGGTTGAAATTTCGCTTGGTGAATTTTTTATCATTAAGTTTTGATAAAATTGCGTTATATGTTTTCTGGATTGGTAGGAATTCTCATTCCCCGACTGGGCATATTGGTGTCCATGTCATGTGACCCGACTGCGGCACACTCCTGGCACAGTGACTGCAATGATTAGTTTTTCAGCGGGATATGTAAATTATTGCTATATTGAGCGAGGTAGAGCAGCTGGAGGGCAATATGATCTACACAAATAGTCTACTTTATGTAGAATCTGCAACTTCCCGCATAGCATCATTCAATGAAGACTTCATGTCGCAGGATATCAATGCAACATATCTTCGTGTGAAGAACAATACTATTTGACAAATGAGTGATATCAGTACATGGAAATCACTTATAAATGCTAAAAGAACCTCCTATAGGGGCAGAGGTTATCATGTGGATGTGCCTTTCACCGAATAGGAATTTGGATAGGAGTTATGGTAAGTTGAAAAGTTATCTCTAAGTGGACTTAAAGTATATTTGCACTGATTGGTACAGTGCAATATTGGTTATGTGGATTCAGTGTATAAAAATTATCTCTAATTTATTAATATTGTGCCATTGTATGCTTAGCTGACTGCTAGGCTAACAAATGTAGGTGGTTCTAATGACTGCCTTAAGTGCAGTGCAGTGGAGAAGGCAATAACTTGTTTAATTTTCCTCGCACTTTCACTTAGTGCATTAATTCATGATCATGAGATTTGAATCCATTTAGCTCTATTATTATTATTCTGCCGTCTGTTATACCATTCCCACCGGCACCGGATACTTAATGCTGCAATACTTTTGACCACCAATTGTAGAGATGAATTTCTCCCGAAATTTCCATTCACATGAAGCAGTAGAGACGCGGTATCACGACTGAAGGTCCAGGTTGCATTATATGGCATTGTTATCCTCATCAACACAAAAGGTCTGTGTATCTTAGAATATTTTTAGTATCTCTTTATGCCGTTAACACTGTGCATAGCTGTTTAGAGTTGGGACCTATGTACTTCACATTTGATGGCTACAGTTTCCTAAATATGAGGATGTAATTTCTGTAGGATTCATAAAACTGTTCACTAGATATTAATGAGGTTGTGGATCAATTTCTAAGTTTCACATTTGCAATACTTCCTTAGGTGTAATCGTATGCAGTGTGAATTTGATGTATAAGTAATCTTGATGTGACAGTGACGCCTCAAAAGTATGGATGTTTCAGATATTGTCTTGAAACTGGTATATAATCCTCTAATACTGGAAAACATATGAGGTTCTACTCATGCATATGGCGTCAACATAAAGACCAGCTGTGGGGTACAAATACTTTTATTTGCATGAGAACTTTACTTAGTATTAAATGATCAGTGTATTCATATTGTATACTAACTAATATGTAGAGTTATCCTTTATAATTTGTATTGTGCTGGTCCTTACATGGGTCGTCAGTGTCCAGGTATAACTACGCTGGAATTAACGCTGTCCTTAGAAAAACTTCAGCAACAATGTGCAGTAACCAACGCGAAAAAACAGAACACAGATTGGCGACTCAAGAATCCTTCATTCTTGCATAAATATGGAACGAACAATACGGTTATTGTACACAGACTATATCACGACCTTAATGTTTCTAGAAAACTTCCACTTGTCTCTTGTTTGCAGTGTTAGAACATACTCTTTTAATCATCTTTTCCAAGATATATCTTTCATGTACCTGGCTTGTTTCCATCTTTTAATCGTAGGTATTCGTTCCACACTCAAGTCCTCTATGCCAGGATTACCTCTCAATAACAATAACTAATTTGGAGTCAACACTTCGAAATCCTTGACGTCATCCCTCACAGGTAGTAGCGGTCGGTCATTTACTATTCTTTCAGCTTCACATAAAAATGTCTCCAGCGTTTCGTCATTCAAACTCTGGTTTTTAATCATGGAGCTTAAAATACGCTTAACAATTCCTATAAGTCTTTCCCATAGCCCACCTGTCTGACTGGCATGTGGTGGGTTGAAGTGCCACTCGATGTTCCTTTTCAGTAACTCTTCCTGAACTCTCGTTTGGGGACCTTCGAAGTACTCTTTAAGCTCGGCGTGACAGCCAACAAAATTAGTCCCTCTGTCGCTGAACATCATCTTCGGTACACCCCGGCGATTTATAAATCTATGTAATGCTAGCACGAATGAATCAGTAGTTAGCGTGTGAACCATCTCAATATGCACAGCTCTCATTTTCAAACAGGTGAATAAACAGCCACATCTTTTACATAGGGTTCTGCCTCTCTTCACTACAAAAGGTCCGAACAAATCCACCCCAACGTACTCAAATGGATAATTCCCTTCAGAAGCTTGCCACGCTGGGAGTGGTGCCATCATCTGCTGTACTGGACGAGCATTTCGGAGTTTACATTCCATGCACTTATCAATTATTTTACGGACAGCAGTACCTCCCTTCACTATCCAGAACTTACATCGAATACTTGATAGTACTTGCGAAGTACCCAAATGACCTTCAAGAACATGGTAGTGTCTTATAATGAGATCAGTGACTGGATGGTAGCAAGGTAATAAAGCCGGATGACGGGCCTCATATGACGATTCTAACATTTGTAGACGTCCACCAACTCTAGCGATCCCTTCGGAAACTATCGGAGATAATCTATCTAACCGCACCTTGAAATCTGTGAAACCGGGACTATCCTCCTTGGCTATTTCACCCCACGCTTCCCACTGAGCAGCCCTCAAAATCGCTAACTCTGCATTTCCAATATCTTCGACTCTCAAAGGCCCCACATTCATATTTTCGTATCCCGCAAGATGAATGACCTTTAAATACGTAACATATCGTGTCAACCACGCATCAGCTTTCAGTAGTTTGTACCAAGAAGAGTAATATTTAAAAAGTGGATGTAAACCTGAATGTCTTTCTTGAGTAGATGTTAACCTGACTTTAGTCTTAAACTACAAGACAAACTCACTTATCGGTGGTTCATCTTCTCTACGAGGCCACATACCATCAGCTCGTAGCAAGAACTCTGCACCCTTCCATCACTTATTTTTAACCACATTCATATCAATAACTTCTCGCAATGCTAGATCAGCTGGGATTTTTCCAGACGGTACATACCTCCACTGCTCGACGGTTGTTAATTCACGAATTTGAGATACTCTGTTAGCTACAAAACATGCGTATCTTGCTGACTCGTTGCACATATAATATATCACGGACATCGCATCGGTCCGAAACGTTACGGGATACATGGGATAATCTAAATCCTTACACATCGTCATGAATGACCGCGCAGCTGGTAAGGCTGAAGCAAGTTCTAATCTTGGAATCGAAACCGACTTTAGAGGTGCAACTCCAGGTTTACCCATCACTAGGCGAACATCTATATCATCCCTTAAGGTGGTTTTGATGTAGACGGCTGCTCCACGTCTGACTTCAGAGGCATCAGAAAAAATATGGAAGTTATTTATATCACGATTTCTCGATGGCTTAAGTGGACGTGGGACGGAATGTAGATCCAGAGTTCTTAAACTGTTAACCCACCTTTTCCACTCTTCACTGTGTTTCTGACTTAATGGGTCATCCCATTGTAACGCATTCATGAATGTCTCTTAAAATAATCTCCTTGTCGGAAGTAGATGAGGTGCTACTAGTCTAAGTGGGTCAAACACGGACGACAACACGGAGAGCACACCTCTCCGAGTAACTGGCTTATCAATATCACCAACACTAAATCCAAAGGTATCAGAGTTCACATCCCATCGCATACCTAATGTGCGTTCAACTGGTAGAGTATCAACAGGCAAATCTCGTACAGTAGGTGCTCTGTCTTCTGGATCTATATGCTTCAAAACGTCTAGGCTGTTCGAGACCCACTTAGTTAGACGAAAGCCGGCCTTAGCTAACACTTCAGTGATGCTTGTTGCAAATCTAACTGCAGACTTGTCATCATAAAGAGGTTAAGCAATCATCCACATAGAAGCAACAATCGATGACGTCCAGCAGATCATTAGAACCAAATGTGGACACCGCCTTTCGCAGAGCAAAATTAGCACAAAACGGAGAGGACGTGGCACCAAATGGATGCACTGTCATCCTATATTCTGACACCTTACCATAAAGACCATCATCAAACCACAAGAAGCTTAAGTGATCTCTGTCGCCCTCTGGCACTTTCACTGCGGGAACATTTCCCCTATATCCAGAGCGACAGCAATTGCAAACTTTCTGAATGTCAACAACAGTCCGACTAATGAGCTCACGCAATCTGAACCACTACATAAATTATCACTCAAAGTAATTCACTAGTGTTTCAAAGAACAATCGAACACCGCACGGATTAAAGACGGGATGATGGGGCAAATACCATCTTCCTGGTTCACTCTGATCAACTAGTCAACCAACTTAACCCTTCAGTACGTGTTTGTCGACGACATCCTTATATTTGGTCCAGGGACCTGCATCCGTTACAAACTTCTTCTTTAAACCCATTAGTGCCTTAAGAGCAGGTTCTCTGCTACCAATCAACTGTCTATCTTTAAATCTCCGTGGAAGACCAACACTGAAACGCCTATTTTCGTATTTAACTGAAATAGGTTATTGAATGGCACTACATAATCGCTCAGTCAATTTACATATATATATGTGATAAGAATAACGATAACTAAAATGTTATAAGGCGTAGAGTTGAAGTGGATAAATTACAGAATTATTAGAGATTGTTTTATAAGTGGATTGATGTCAAAAATGGATTAAAAATGTCTAGAGTCGTCTAAAAATTAAAAAAT